ATTTCAGTTTTCCATTTTCCTCTCAAAACACAATGATGCCAAATGGCTTTAAAATACAACTGAAACAGTAACCCGGAAATTTAGGCAGTCCCGAGCTTGCAGCGCTCCCTAGTGTAGAAAACACCCTCCATAGGGTCATACCAAAGACTATATAATGTGAGAGGAAGCATATTGTTGTTAATTTACGTCGCACTAGAGCTGCACAATGGGCTATAGGCGACGGTCTGGGAAGCATCCCTGAGGATGATCCGAAGACATGCCATTACAATTTTAATCCTCTGCAGAGGGGATGGCACCCCCGCTTCAGTAGCCCGATGACCTGCGAACGAAATCGAGCACTTTACGGTAGCACAGTTTAACGAGGGCCAATACCACACACCCTTGGTCCCTACGCAGACTGATCCAAGTGGTCACCCACCCGCACACTGACCGCAGCCAGTGATGCTTGACTTCGGTGATCTGCTGGGAACCGTGTCTTGACGATCAGTCCACTGCGGGACTGAGGATTGTTGTTGTTGTTGTTAATTTGCGCCGCATTAGAGCTTCACAATGAGCTATTGGCGACGGTCTGGGAAACATCCCGGAGGATGATCCGAAGACATGCCATCACAAATTTTGATCCTTTGCTGAGGGGATGGCACCCCCGCTTCGGTAGCCCGACTACCTGAGCGATAACACGCGGGACTGAGGAAGAATATATAATCCACTAAAATATTCTTCGGTCATACTGCATGTTTTTCACACACTTGCGATCGTTGCATAGCGAAAATGAGAGCCAAATTGGTATAATAAATTTCACGCGGAAAACTCACTATCGGGTTTTCCAATTAGGAGTGCATGAACCACCTGCAGTGAGAATGTCCTCGTTGCAATATAAATATTTTTCTTTTTTTTTAAAAAAATATTTAGTTTACGGTCCTTTAAACGCGCAGAAATACGAAGTCAAAAGCGTTACTAATCCACCATCAACAACCGACCTCAACAACACCGAATATCAACAATACCGATAAAAATTTTTTATTTCTATAAATATTTTTTCGTTGTATAAACATATGATTGAAAGTTTCATTATTTTTAAGAAACAATTAATGGGAAACCATGAAGGAAATTTATAAATCAACTGTTCTTTTTAGGTATTGTCTTATTCTATCATTAATGTTTTCAGTTTTTAAATAATTTAGATATAAATATTTATTTACATAATTTTATCCTTCTGAATTCGTAATTATGAAGTTAATTTAAGAAAATCCCGGAAAGAAATAATTAAGTGCTTTATATTTACATTACTTACGCATTACTTTTAAAAACAAAAACATATTTGCAAAAAAAAAAATAATTATTTTTTTCCTCATTAAATCTGCTGTTTTAAACTTGAATTTGCATGAAGCATCGCAAACTATTATTAACTCATTGTATTTGTGTGTTTTTAAATTGTGATGGATGCTTAAAAACACTTGTCCTTTTATTTATTTATTTTTTTTGGTCCTATGGTATTTGTATATTGAAAATGTCTTGATTTTTCAATAAGATAATAATTCAAGATTAGGGTCTAGATTTCTGTATTTCCATGGCTTCCCTAAAAGTTAAGTACCAAAAATTCTACTTTTTTACCATAGTATGTCTTTAAAACCAAACCAATTTGTTTTTTTTTTTATGTGTTCAATAAATATTATATGTAATAAAAATTATAGTAGTTATTTAACTGCAATACCTTAGGTGATACTGACTGGTTTGGTAATTAGAACAAGGCTTACTTTTACTTGGAGGTGGCTGCCAATTTGTGTTCTTCAAGTATATCCACAGTTAGATTTTGTTTTCTTTCTAATAATAGCAAACTATTTTGATGCTAGTACTATACAAATATCTTCCAAATTATTGTAATTTTATCATTGAATTAGATATATGACTCCATGTGTAATCATTCCCCCCCCTTCATTTTATTGAATACTGTCATAGATTTTCATTGAATTCACTGGTGTGGAACATTTTTAAAATTTTTTTCAATTGCATAAATTAAATTTTTGAAAATATTTTTCCAAAAAAATTAAAACAGACACATAAAAATATTTTTCAAATGTTAGAAATCAGAGCTTCTATAAATATTTTCTAGTTTTTCATTTCTATCAATATTTCATAGGGTTATGATACCCTATGAAAATGTCGAAGTCTTTTGTTACATTTTTTATTTTTAACTGTACTGCTTGTACTATATTTATTTCTCTTCTTTATGTTCCTTTTAATGTATGTCATTCTTATAATATTTTAATAATTATAATATTTTAGGTTTTTTCTCGTTATTTACAATTTTGTGGCATTGGACTCAGAAATGCTGAGCTGTATGAAAGATCAGAACTGGAAAACAAAAGGAATCAAGTGAGTAAGTTTATTTCTCCTTTTTTAAAGATTTCTGTTCAAAGTAAAATCATCTAAATTTTCATATTAAATTTCTGTTGTTTTATTTTAAATTTTTAATATTCAAGCATGCACAATTTTGTTTATATTTTATAGAACTTAGACAAGTTAATTTTATTTCTACCATTTTTTTCCCTACATTTTAAATTTGTTGCAATTAACAGTTTTAAAAGATTTTTTTCTCACAGAAAGTTCCTTAAATTATTTAATTTTACTTTTTATATCTAAATCACTTTTTGAGTGCTTAAAGTTTATCTTTTCTCAGCAATTACGAAATTATCTAGCTTTAATCATTTTCAGGATAACTATTCAAGTACATGTAAGTAGATTTATGTAATTCATAGTTTCTAAAATAACTAAAAAAAGTTTATTCTGTAGATTAAATTCTATTTATCTAAATAATTTAGGAGCTTTTTAATATAATGTAAAAAAAACATAGTTTTAAACAGAACTAATTGTTTATTACTAGTATTTAAAATTTTAATAACTTACTGTTTGTGGAAACTTTTTTTGCTTTAATTCTGACTTTTAATGTGTTTAGATAATTTAATATCTATAGATGCGGAATGATGTGTTTCGGATTCTAGTAATATAATTATTAATTATAATCATATTACTTTATTTTAGTCAATATTTTACATAAAATTAATATTTGATTCTATAATCAGTCTTCAATCCATCTACATGCTGCTTCCAGACCTGTAAATTCAGCTTTCTGATATGAACCCAATTTGAAGATTACAATTGATAAAACAATCTGATTCAGAAACTTTATACTTCCAGGGGTCTGTCCAGGGCAAACTTACTACTGTTTAGCGGTACTGTCACAAATTCAACTTAAGGAAAAACGGTAGTTTCACAAAATACTTATAAAAGCAAGTTCTAAGATTCTCACCCCCTCCCCTGCTTCTTAAAATTTTCTTGTTGTACCCCCTTAAAAAGGATAAACCCCTGGTTAATTACGCATTTCAATTTGCTATGGAACTTTTCCCCATGGATTGTATATTACGTAAGAGAAGAATTCGCTTCCCACGTGGTTTGTAAGAGCGCTTTTCATCCCTATGGCGGGATCCCAAAACGCCATGGGAAAAAAGGAGCATCAGCTACTCCATTTCTTAATTGAAGTGGAAGAAAAGTGCCAATATCTTGCAAACCCTGTTTTCTTTGCAATCAATGGAGAGAGAAAAGGAGCTTTTCTGAGTAAAAGGAGCACTTCTACAAATAGGTAGCATGTGTTTGGTCAGTTAGTGCGGTGTGGTAAGCCTAACCCGTCATATACACTATATTTAAGCAAGCCTTTTTTTTAAAGAAATGAAATGACAAGGCTGCTCTTGCTGACTGTGCACCAACATAACGCTATCAATATTCAAATTGTCATTTTGATATACATCCAAAATATTTGTTAACTATCTCTTAATAAAACTTGAAAATGTTGCCATTCTGTATATATATTGTTGGTGGCTGAAAATTTTTATTAATATCAACTTTCACTTACTATCCTGAATTTTAAAATCGTCTATTATCATATCCTGTTATTTATAAAAAATCTTTGGCTAACTGATTTATCTGTAATTTTACCTATAAATTTTATCTATAAATTTTACATATGACTTTTCAGGTGTTGCTGGATCTGGCTAGAATGGTTTTTGAAGAACAAAGTACTATTGAACACATAGTGTATCGAATAATGACTCATACTCAATCGTTGCTGCAGTGTGAACGTTGTCAAGTACTTCTTGTTGATGAAACTACTAAGGTATTGTCTACTAAATTGTTTTTTTTTCTTTATTTGTTGAATAATTTTAATATTTAATTAATTTATTAAAGTAACAGCATCACATTTTTAAATTTGAAATGTTAAGTATGTTTTATTTTTCAGACATTTTCAAGAGTGTTTGACTTAGATATAAATGATATGACATCCGAAAATGCTGAGTCTAGAACTAGGTAATATTTTACTTAAGAAACTGTTTTAAGCTTTTAATTTGTCTTTCTTTTAACCAATTATATTATTTGAAATTAGAAAGCTGTCTTTATTTAATTAACAACAATCATGAAAATAAAGTGTCTGTGTGTCCCATGTCTTAATATTCATTTAATTTGCATAGTTAATGAATATTGAGGTGTGAGGTAAATGATAGGAAATTTTAATGTTTTACACTTGATGTTCATAATAATTTATTTAAACTCTATAAATTTTGAGAATCCATTCTTTATATTCAGTATCTAAAAATCTCTTAAGTTCCTGCCAGAGCTATACCATTTAGTATTTGTTGTTAAATACAAAAAAAAAGTTTGTTATTTTTGATCAAATGAGGCTTTTTTACATTTTGCATCAAGTAAATGACGAAATGTTTCTGTTCTAAGGTTGTTGTTTTTTCCAGTAATTTTTAATTTTACGTTTTAATATTATCATTAATTGTCTTTTCCTAATATTTTTTATTTTATTTTTTTAGCCCATTTGAAGGTCGTTTTCCTATAAATGTAGGAATCACAGGTTATGTTGCTACAACTGGAGAGGTAAATATTTCATATTTTTCAGTCATTGTGCACTTTTTGACTTGTAATTTTAAATTTAAACTTATTCACTAGATTTTTCTTTTTGTATAGACTCTCAATATTTCCAATGTTCATAAAGATGAAAGGTTTGATCCTGCTGTAAGTTGAACTCTTTTTAAATTCCATAAAATGTTATTGAAATATGTAGGAAAAAAAATAAGTAAACTGATAATATCCACCTTAAATATTTTTTTAAAATTTATTAAATCTAAAGAAAACTATATTATTTTAATAATTTTTTCAATTTGATTCTTTCATTTAATTATCTTTCTTTAATTTAATTTTCTTCTTCTTTTTAATTTAATTCAATTTTCTGTTGTAAGTATCTTTGTTTGTTGGATATTCTTTGTTTTTAATTTCTCATAAGGTAAATAGTTATTATTTACGATAATAACTATTTAGTTTAAAATATTGACGTAACTTTATATATTTTTCCAAATATAGTAATAAAATAACTAGGATGGTATGTTACATGAAGTCTGGTATTATAAAAAATTTCCAAGACACCATCAAAAGGCTAATTATTTCAAAATTGTGTATTTATAACAAGTTAAAAATTACTACGTTTTTGTTGTTATGACATAAAAAAAAACAGGAAATAAATTTTTCTGCTGTTAAAGTGTATGCAAAAGGGTTTAAATGAATTTTTTTTTATTTATTTCTGGTGTTAATACAGATAAGCAAAATATTAGCATAGCTTCTTTCTTATAATTTTAATCCCTTATTTTTCTAGAGCAATATCAGGGTGACTATGAACTAAATTATCTTCTTTGTAACAAAAGAAAAATTCTTCCTCTATTTTAAAAAATTTTGCTATTTAAAAGAAAGTGCTTTTTGTTGATCACATATGTATCATGCCTCCTTATTCCCCTTCTTGACAACTCACTATTAAAATCTAAGTTTACTGTTATCAATGAAGGCTAAAGATATTGCACTTCATTTCATTTTCTTCTCGCAAAAAGTTGTTCAAACATTTTTGTCATAGACATTTTTTCCTTTCATAAAGTAATGTAAATAGACCTTAGTAATTTAGTCTGCAACCTGTAGGCAAAAGTAGTCTTATTTTAGATATGTATTTTAAATTAAAATAAACGGAAAAAAAGAGTAAATATGTTTATTTTATTTTTATTACTGGTATTTTGAAATTAAATATGTGTACTTGCTTATGATGACAATTTCATCTGCCATTATGAATTGACATTTTAATGGTCTTCTACCATAATAAAAAAAAGTTATGCTATTTCTCAAATTTCATTTCAACTTTTATCAAAGTTTTGTAATTTAAGGCTGTATTTTTAACTTTTCATACATTAAATTGTTTATTCTCATTTTTTTATATTACTTATGTTCGATAATAATTTCCTTTTAAAGTCCATCTGTGCATAGATTTTTATCAGTAAATTTGATTGTTTAACGTTTTTTTTTAAATCCAAATCTAATCTAGAAACTTGAGTAATAATAAAAAAATTTAATTTTATAGCATTTTACCTAATATATAAATAATGTGTAACTCTGATAATTAGGAATTCATTTAGATAATATAAGCATTTATTTTTCTTTTGTTATTCCTTCTAATTATAAATATTAATAACTTTTTTTAAGGTTGATGATGATTGTAGTTTTTTCCACCATTCCATCTTGTGTATGCCGATTCGAAATGCTTCTTCAAAAATTATTGGTGTGAGTCAGTTAATTAACAAAATNTTGTTTTAATTGTTATTAAATTATTTTTTTATATTCATTATGTTTGATAATAATTTCATTTTAAAGTCCATCTGTACATAGATTCTTATCAGTAAATTTGATTGACGTTTTTTTAATCAGAATCTGAAACGATAGAAACTTGAGTAATAATAAAAAAAAGTAATTTCATAGCATTTTACCTAATATATAAATTATGTGTAACTCTGATAATTAGGAATTCATTTAGATAATATAAGCATTTATTTTTCTTTTGTTATTCCTTCTAATTATAAATATTAATAACTTTTTTTAAGGTTGATGATGATTGTAGTTTTTTCCACCATTCCATCTTGTGTATGCCGATTCGAAATGCTTCTTCAAAAATTATTGGTGTGAGTCAGTTGATTAACAAAATTAGTGGAGAACCTTTCAACAAAAATGATGAACATATTTTTGAGGTACATAAAATTACTTTTGTTGTTACAACTTTCTTTAAGAAAAAGAGTATCAGTTTATTTATGATTTATCCTTACCATAATATGAATTACTTAATCGTGACTTTAACAGTAATATTCTATACTCAGAATGATTGATTTCTAAACATGTAAGGTAAGGTTTGTCAAATGTCTTCTATTCTACCACTGGTGCTTTTTGGGTGTATCAATAAAAACTATTTTTTTTTTAAATTTAAGGTTGACAGAAATTTTCGCTAGGGTTACATGTGTGTAAAATTTTAAAAAAAAATTTAATGTGACCTTAACAATAATATTTTACAATCAGAAAGACTGATTTCAAAACATGCAAGATTTTGCCAAATGTCTTCAAATCTGACATATCTTCCAGACGTGTTATAATTGAAAGCAAGTTGATTAAATAGCAAGACTTGTTGACTAAAACATGTCTAACACTGCTGCTTTAAAGAGTGCACCAATAAAAACTTTTATTTTTTTAATTTTAAAATTGACAAAAGTTTTCACTGGTCACATGCACACCAAATGTTTTAAGCAAATTGAAAAATATTTAAGTCATGAATATAAATTTTATTTATTTCAATGCTGTTCTATAATCCTGTTGATTTAACGATTGTTTTTGCCCAGTACAAATGTCTAATTGGCTTTTTAAAAAAATTAAATTAACTGTAACAATAGTATTATATAGTTAAACAACTAAACTGTATTATTTGATTATAAATATACTGAAATAATTTATACTTTATGATCCAATTAGGCATTTGCTATTTTCTGTGGAATGGGATTGCAAAATACACAGATGTATGAGAAAGCAATTAAAGCAATGGCAAAAACAAAAGTGACTCTTGAAGTTTTATCTTACCATGCTACTGCTCCACTTGATGAAGCTAAACAACTAAGTGTAAGAATAAACTTTTTTTAAAAAAAAACAACTTTTTTTTAGTATTTGTTGAAATGTAAGAAGTTTTTTTCTAATGGATTATTACTTAAAAAAAATTGTTAAGTAATAACCAAGGGAAAATATTTTTCTATTAAATTTCATTTTTAAAATACATATTTTTTAATTTTTTTTAGCTTGTGAAAATAGAATATTTAATATGATACTCAAATAATGTTTAATTTTATGATCAAATTTTCATCCAGTTAAATTTTCAAGTCTGTAAAAGCCCATCTTATATTTGCTAACTAATTCTGCATGTTAGAAGTGAAGGACATAATCTCCATTTGTTTCTAAAATATAGTTGATACCATGTCCATGATGTAGATTTTTCACTCTTGTGCTATAAAACACGATGCCACGTTATAATAAGTTTTAAAGTTAAGTAGTTTGAAAAAACATTATGTCCTATTTCCTTTTGAAGTAAAAGATACTAAAATCTGCTCTCCTTGATACTTACGTTTTTGTGACATAGTGTCTTTTAACTCTAGCTTACAGAATTAATTTTTAATGTTTGTATTTTAATATTTAATTGTATAAAATGTTTGTTACTGCAACAGTAATATTTGTTTTACTTTATACTTTTTACCTTTGTTAATTATTCAAGCCTTATTTTTCAAAAATGAATAAATAAATAAAAGCAAACACTGGGAAAAAAATTAATAACTGTTAATAAAAGTAAACTGTTAAATTATTTATTTGTTATTTTATCCTTATCTCATATCCTATTGCTTTATTTTTCTCCATGATTGTAATACTTATTGCACTAAAAAATTGGTTAATGATTCAATAGTCAATCTGATTCAAAATTCAATATAGAATGAGAATTTGATTTTTTTTAAATAGTTAAATTATACTATGATTAAGCGTTTTCAAAACTGAATAAACTCTATAGCTTATTCTTAAATGATTGAATAGTTTCAAATATCGAATTTTTGAATAGTTTCAAATATCGAATTTTTAAGGTGTTTCAAAACTGATTAGGTATAAAAAAAACTGTATATTATTTTTAAATAGTTAAATCTTTTAAAATTGTAAATTACTTTAATTAAGTTCTTTCAAAACTGAATAAGATTGGTATAAAAACTACACAGTTGGAACTTAAAGGATGAAATTATTACAAACAGTTAAATAATTCAATAATTGAGGTGTTTCAAAACTGTATTAGGGTAAAATCCTATATAGTAGAACTGTATATAAGAAGGAAACTTCATAGACTTGTTCTTAAATAATTTGGTTCTGAATAGTCTTTTATTTCTTTGGTTGCATGCTGTCAAATTTTACTGCAGTTTTCCTGAGAATAGGCAAAAAATTTTCTTAAAAATTAATTTTAAAATGAAAATTTATTTTAAGTTCAATCATATTTTGAAATCAGTTGGTGCATTTATTACTTGTGATGTAATGCAAATACAATTTGCTTTTTTCTTTTCTAGAAATCCCTAATTCCTTCAACTCATGTTTTCAAACTGCAAGATCTGAAGTTCAATGATTTCAGCTTAGATGATCCAGATATGCTGAAAGCTTGTCTCAGGATGTTTATGGATTTGGATTTGATTGAAAGATTTCACATAAAATATGACGTAATGTTTATCTTAAATTTTGTTTTAACTAAACCATCCTAGATCAAAATTATTTTACTCTGCTTTTATTTATATTTTACAGTCTCTTGTTATGAATATATTGTAAAGGGTTTTCAGATTTGTTAAGGTATTTGCTGGGGGAATGCAGGAAAAAAATAATAGTCTTGTAATTTTTGTTGTTCATTATTTTATCCTTTTGTAAAAAGCTCTTTATTATTTTTCAGAGTAAAGTAAAAGCATTTTTAGATGAAAATGTATACTAAGTAATTAATAAAAAATTGCCGAACTATAAATTAAATTAAAACAAAAGCTAAGTTTATGAAAAAGAAAATTGCCTGGGATTACATATTCAGTTATAATGAATATTTATGTAAATTCATTCTTTCCTTAAAATTTTTTTATTTCCTTCTAGAATTAATTTATAGACGTTATATTTGACTCTCGAAGTGGTATTTAATCCTTCACACAGGGGAAAAAGTTCGCCATTGCCTTGTTATTGAATAATGTAGGAAAACCTTTTTTTAAATTTTTTTTTGATGCAGCAAGTAACTTGATTAAAGTTATGGTAAAAGCAGGACTAATGCTTTGTGGGTTAAATATATGTCTCATTTAAACTTTATGCAAATTTGTTTAATTATTTGTTTTTATTATAAATCATAGTGAAAGTATTTGATATAGTGTAAAATTCTGCTGCAAACCCAAACGTTTCTTTTGAAATCGTCATAGAGATGCTGCAGACGATAATGTTTCAGTATGTGGTGATTGGAAATAATCATACTTATTCAAAGAGGTTTAGGCATTTCTAGATTTATTAAGAAATGAAGATAACAAGTAGACTTAACTATTATTTACTAAACAAATAACTAATAATAACTTAAACTACTTGGAGATCAGGGATCAATTTTTTTCTCAGCCACACACTTTTGATTTATCAAATTTATTTAATTTAATTTAATGTTTTTAGGAGTTTTTCAAATTCAAATGTTTAAAATTCATGGTTGAAATATACTGATATTATTTTATTTTAAACTAGGTCTTATGTAGGTGGCTCTTAAGTGTGAGGAAGAACTATAGACAAGTTACTTACCATAACTGGAGACACGCATTTAATGTCAGTCAGATGATGTTTGCTGTTTTAACTGTAAGTGCCAAAAACAATTTTTTAAAAGCAAGTGCATTAAGTGCAGTGTGCAGAAGTTTTAATCCTAAAAGTTTCAGCCTTAAATATGCTTACTAAGTAGTACAGACGCTATTTGAAATTAACAAATTGGTCCCAAAAATGATCTTTCTTTGAATAAACAGCTGACTTATTGTACTGCTCTTCTAAATAAAATCAGCAGCAATCTAGAAAATATTGTCCTAATAGTTTAATGAGTAGAGAGGTTTGCGCCCCTTAATGTTAATATTTTTGTGTATTTCGCCATCTCAACTAAAGTTTTCATTTTTTAAGAACCATTCAACCTATTCTCTTCAAATTATTATCTTCTTAATTATCTCTTATAATTGTCATATAATAATATGTAAATTGAAATAGTATAAAAATTTTTTTTACATAACAATTCAAACATTTCTCGATGGTTAGGAAATTAAATTATCAGAAATAATAAATAGTTATAAAATTTTTTTTTGTTGCTAGAATTATTTTTAAACAATTTGTATGGCTAATTTTTAGTTCACTTATAGTTTCACAATAGTATGCATAAAATTTATAATTCTTTTAAGGAGTGCAAAAAATTAAGTTAAGCTACCTAAACTTACAACCACTACTCTGCTTGAAGTATTGAGACCTTATTTTCCATATTTTGCTTACCTTTTATATTTTGTGGGTTTAAAATCCAAATCCATCAGAAAAAAAAGGGTGCGTTTATTTAAATATTGTTAAGTTTTTGTATCTGATTTTGTAACTAAAAATATTGTCATCGCAAAATATTTACCATATCTAAAATAAACTCCTGAAACTATTAAGATCTTGGAATGTGAAAATCTGGTCACAAATCAAAATTTTATTGGGTCTTCCTTTTTTTTTATATATATTTATTTTGTGTATGGATTTTAATGAACACACATCTTTGTAATGCAAATAATTTGTACACATTGAAATGAATGTGCATATAGCCTGTTTTCTGGTGCAATATATTTTCAATTAAAAAGAACCGCATATCTATATCCACCCACATTTTCGCATACATTGTCTTAAAAAAAAAAAAAAAGAATTATTTTTTAACTAACTTAATAACTTAGCTAAATCAATTTGAGTTTTGAGTTTTTAAATTAGAAGATATTTTATAAACAATTAATTTACTAATCTCGATTTTTCTATCGTTTGAATGATTTCCTGTGTTTATTTATTTATTTTGTCAAACATAGGCTCAAAAGCATTCAAATGTGTTTAATTAATATTGTGAAAAGTAATTGTAATAATTTTCATAAGACAAAAATCTTTTTTGTTTCCTTTTTTTTTTATCTAAAATACTTAACTTTTAACTAAACGGAGTCAAATTAGCAAATTGTTTTCAGTTCCAATTCCTGCAACAAAAAAAATTTGACTTGAGATTCCTCAGCCCTGAAACAAATTCAACATATTAGAGAACAAACAACTTTGTCTTGCTAAATCAGAACTGTACTTTTAAAATTAAAAAAAAATGCTATCTAGTTTTTTATGAGAGCTATTTTAATTTTCCAGTTTTGGAAGATATGCAGAAAAACATGAAGAATGTAATAATACAACTTAGCTTTATTTCTTTTTGAGTAAAATAGAAAAATGATTTTAACTACTAAAATATATTAAAAACAGTAAATCTAGCTGCACCCTAATCTATTTCTTTTTAATGTTTATTAGTTGTGTTAGTAAAAGATATATCACTGCCTTCCGCAGTAAATTAATCATGGAGCAATTTCATTGCACTTATTGCATTAATTGTTTGTCCTCATTTATCAGGTTATCTATGACCCTTGTTATTATTATGCGTTGTCTGTAGCTATAAACATATCCAAAACTAAAAACATATAACTTTAAAGGTAACAAAGATTTAACAGGATGAAAGTATAAAAAGTTGATTATGCTTATTTTAAATTTCAGATTACTAAACTGTGGCATGTGTTTGGAGAAGTTGAAACTCTGGCTCTTTTAATAGCATGCTTATGTCATGATTTAGATCACAGAGGGACAAATAACTCTTTTCAAATCAAGTATGTCTTCTCAATTTATATGAATTCATAGATTTCAAAAAATGTCTTTCATTTTCATTTCCTAATAATTTATTTATGTCACTCATTACATTTTCCTAATTTTATCCTTTTTCTTCTTACTTTCAAATCAAAGAAAATTATTTTAACGCCAACCAATTATTTGAATTGTTTTCATACATTAAGAGGACGCTATACCATGGCAGAAACCCTTCATGGCAAATTCTCTTTCCCCTCCATTGGTAATTTAAAAACTTACATTTAGAGAAAAGTGATTGCAGACTTACTAAGAGTAAGCTATGAAGTTTCTAACTCTGAAAAAGATAATTCTAAATATTGAAATGCAAACAAATTATGAGTGGATTACTTAGGGTTTTGTTTGGGAAAGTTCTCAAATTATTTGTTGGCATTGTGATATTTTAAAAAAAAACTATTTTTTCAACATTTGAAGTTTCATGGCTTATTCTAGGTATGTCTGAACTCTCTAAACTTTAAATTTTAATACAACAATTGAGATAAAACAGAATTTGCAATGAAAGTTTCTCCCATGATATAGCGACCTCTTAACTAGGACTATATAATATTACTGTGCAAATTTCAGTTTTTTAAGTAGTAAATAAATAAATATATTTTATTGTCTACAAAATGTTCCTTTATGTATGCTTGTGAAAATTTATTATGTAATTAAATATATGGTACATTTAAATTTTATTTGAAAGAAAAATTCTCAGAAAAACTTATTTAATTTTTTTTTAAGTATAAATTTCATTTATTTTTATCATTAGAAAAAGTTTCTAGTTGTAAAATCATTGCTAGTTATTCTTCAACTTAACACCCTGTAAACTGAATCATTATATTATTCTTATAAGTGATAAAAAAATTTAATGTTAGCTATTTTTTTATTAAAATCGAGCAAATTTCTTTATATGCTTGCTTTTAAAGACCTCAATATTTATTTAGCACTTAAAAATACTTTTATTTTTCTTTTAAAGGAAAGAATTTTACTTTATGTTAAATTTCTAAATAACTAAAAGTAACCAAACATTTGTATCATTGAAAATATTGTGCATATTTTATTATTTTATGTTATAGATCATGTTCACCACTTGCACAGCTATATTCTACCTCAACTATGGAGCACCATCATTTTGACCAATGTATTATGATTTTGAACAGTGAGGTAAAGAATTCCCTTTTACATGATATTAATTTGTAGACAATAGAGAGATGCATTGTACACAATAAAGCATAAAATTTTAAGAAAGGATAAATAACAGTAATTAGTTAAACTTTTTTTTCTTTCTTCTTTTATCTTCTGTAAACATTAATGAAAGGCATATGATTTATGGTTTAATTGATGACATATGATTTATAAAATGCATAAAGCATGAATTTCATAAACCAAAAAAGATAAAATCAAAACAAAAAGAATAAGTTCATAAAGTTTAATTAGATTTAATATTTTCATTCAAAATTTAATTTAAGAGCATAACTACAACAGGAATTTACTTTGTTTTAAACAAAATTCAATGGGGTGATAAGTGTTGTACTGAAATATAAAATTTCAGGAAAGTTTGCATAAAGAACAAAAAAAAAAGTACAAAGCAGCAATTGTTTGAGTGCCATCATCAATGCTTGTTTATTGTACCAATTCTCTTGTTGGTACTTCATTATAGTTAGAGAGCTCTGCCCTGTTCTTGCTTCACTTACTATTCCATTTTCTATCAAATCATTTTTATTTATTGATGTTTTAAAACAGATTGTTGCACCAAAATTAAAAGTTTGAAATTTTTTTACTGTATCAATACATATTTAGATTCAGAGATTAAATTCCTGATTGTATTGGAATAAAATTTTAATTTAATCATTTTGCTCCTTGAGCTCTGCAACTTTCTACAAATTTGTATTTTAAATTCCTATTTAATTTTAGTTTGATATAAAGCTCCTTAAATATTTTTCACCTAAGAAATTATTTAGCAATAATGTAAAACATTAATCCTTAATATTTATTTGCATTTTCAAATAGTTATTTTATATTCATTATTGTAATTGTATATGTTTACTGAATATTTATACGCAAAATTTATTTAAAAAAATGTAAATGTAATTTATTTACTGTTTAATAATTATTAAAACATCACTATACATATATTATTATAAAATCTATAATAGTAGAAAATTTTACTATGAAATAATGATAAATAATATTACTAGTTAATACATTCATTACTTTTAATAAAACTATGATGATGCTGTCCAATGATATTCAGATCTTTGTTTATTAATTGTATCCTGTTTAATGAAAATTCACGAAGCTGTAAGTAGACAATTGTCATTTTATGCTGTATATAGATACCTAAAAGGCTGTCTTCTTGCTATGTGAATTTTCTACATTGTTACCTTAATGCTTTCAAAATTATTTTTTTTCTTAAGGTTGTTTTCTAATATCAAAGTATAAGTAAAGTATAAGCAAAGTATCTTCATATTTACTGCCTGAAATATAATAAAATTGGATTTCAAATGTTGTACACCATGCAAAGTGTTGGAATACAATTATTTAGTGTCAAATCTGACATGCACTGTTTTTATATAAGTCGTCATTCAAAATGCCATATTTTTGAGTCTACATTTTTTACACACAAAATAAAAATTTATTAAAATATCATATTATGAATTATTAATATGAGAAAAGGAAATGTGTCCTTAACATTTAAGGACTAGTCTTTTGTCTAATCGAATTTCTTTGCTATCTTGGAACTGGTCCTTTAGGTGTTAAAATCTTTTTATAAAGAGCAAAATGTTTGCAGAATTTATTATTTAAAGCATGTTTATGATTTTTCTTTTTTGCAAGAAGAAGAGAAGAATCCAAACAAACAAAATTATAGGTTGTTATTTTCTATTATTTTGTACATATCAGAGCTAAAAGAGCTTATCATATGAGCTCTTTGTTCTGCATATTTTCTCTGCAATGTGTGGTATAAAAAATTTAATCTTATTAATGCATGTAAATAAAAATAATTTTACATATTTATAATTTAAGCATTTTTATTTTGTTCAGGGAAATCAAATTCTTAGTCATTTATCACCTGATGAATATTCATACATTGTTCATGTGCTTGAAGACGCAATTTTAGCCACAGATCTAGCTGTTTATTTCAGGTATTCAATTATCTATTAATTATTTTTGCACTCTTAAATTTTCTTTTTTTTTTTGTTCAATCAGCTTTATTGTGTCACACATTTAATGATTCTCTTTATTTCATTTTTTTTTAATTGGTGAGAATTTAGCTTTGTAATGAACTTTCTTTTCTAAAACTATTTCTGTCAATTACTCTATAAAAATTGCACTTTGCGTGCAGCTTATGATTCATGACTTATTGTATGTAAATATCTTTGTAGGTATTATATTTCCAGCTGAAAAAGTTCTAAATAAGTTTCTTTTTCCTATTATACTGGGCTTGGAAAGAATTTTGATATATTATATAGATTGTAAGAAAATCTATTAAGCAATCTTTTTCTTTGTATCAGGCTGTTTAAAAATGAATTAATCTGAGATTTTTTTGTTTGATTTTTTTGATTTCTAGATCAAAACGAAATGAAAAATTCATTGGAGGAAATAAGTGAAAAAACTTTTAAAAATATTGTCTGGCAGACTAGTGACAGATTACATCAATGGCAAAATGCATTATTTTTTTAGAGGTTTTTTTTATGACTTTAATTTATGCCACTGTGACAAGGTTTATTGTTTCACTTTTATAACATTCATTAAAATCTCTGAGTGTTGATTAAATGACTTCGTACTTTTTGTTAGGTTAAATTTCAGTGTAAAGTATCATTTTAGTTTCAGAATCAATGCTGAAATCAGTTTTACTGATCGAATTTTTATGTATTTCAGGCGGCGTGGAATATTTTTTAAGTTGGTAGAAACTGGTAACTATACCTGGAAAAGGGAAGACAACCGTGAATTACTTAGGTAAGAAAGTTTTTAAAATAATATTTTTTTGATTCATGAATATTTTTATGTACAGTACACAGAAAAATAAATGGACCACCCTAAATGACTTTTGATCTAATGATCGGAACTTCAAATTTAAGAACTTAATCTTACTCGATCCTCAAATATAAAGTGATGAAATTGGAAAAACTTACTTTCTCAAAATAATAATACCATTTTTCTTAGGATCTCGATTAGTGACACCCCAAATATAGTGGGTAGCCGCCATCGGGGAAATATGGTAACAATTAAGTCAGAAGACGATCCAAAGTTTGAACACCTTAATTTTACTTTTGACGCATTTCACCATAACTCAAGAACTTTTTAAGTGAGTTGAAAAATTTTTGCGCATAATCATAAAATTAGTTTATCTAAAGATAATGCCATGCAAAAAATGACTTTTAGTAAATATTTATTATTTGTAATATTTTATTTAATAATAGTCATAAAAGTTTGAATTGTAAGGTATACTGATTTTTTACATCATTTTAAAGAATGTAATTTTACATGGCAAAATACGAGATTTAAGCGAAATCCGTGGAATAGCTCCTGAGAAACCTAATTTTAAAAATATGACTTTTTCAAAATTCAATTTCTCAAGAACTATTCAACCGATGTTGCTCAAATTTTGTAATTTGCCAATTAAAGTTGTATTCTTTAAAATAATGTAAAAAAATTTAGCTCTTACTATTAAAAATTTACTGAAAGTAAAACGAGAGTAGAACTATCTTTGAGAAAATAAATGTTATAATTATGTGCAAAAAAATTTCACTTCGCTTCAAAAAGTTTGAGATATGGCAAAAAACAAAAATTATATTAACATTAAGGGGTCCAAACTTTGGACCGCTCTCTTAGACAAACTATTGGGACCCTATTTTCAACTTTTATATTTCTTATGCTCTAAACATTTCATGTAGATAAAAATTATAAAATGAAGTTATATGTCAATTTAAGCCGAGCCCTTAAACCTAAAATTCCTCACCTTTAAGAGCCACTAGCTGATTTATTTTTTTGAAATTTTATGTATACAAAATTCAAAAAAAAAAAATAGTAAGTTGTTTATTTTTTCAATGAAATTAATAAAGAAATCAATAATAAAGGCAAAAAAAAGAAAAACTGGGGTTCTAAGTTATTCATTCTTGAGGGGCACCACATAAGCAAAGTATTAAAAGGCCACTTTAAATTGATTAGTCTAGAGCCCCAAAAAGTTAACTGGTTCTGAGCAAGTACTCACCTTATAGACAAACACTGTTGTACTGTACAAAATTCATATAGATATTGGTGTCACTTTAACTTTTCAAATGTTGACTTCAAAATTTTTTTTACTATTTTCCTGCTCAAAAAAACCTGTTCTCTGGCAGGAAACAGGTTTGGTAATAATCACAGGAAATATTTGAACAAATTTGTCCATATAGGGTTCAAATAATTCATTTCATTTCGCCTATTTGTAAATCTTTAAATCACTTGTTAAGACCTTAATTTTCATTTCAGTCAAGTATTGAACATGAAGCTTTTTAATAGCATTTTCTTGCAAATTATTTAATTTAGAATGGTGTCCAGTGGCTGAATTTTTTCAAGCTTTTGCGACAAACCTCCTTAGCAGTACTATCCTTCTGCAAGATATTTTTAATTGTAGCTAGTATGCATTACTAGTTTAAAGTGTGTGTCACTGTGTTTACAAAAAAGGAATTAATTATAGAATAAAAATGAATTTAATTTTTTAATTATAAAATAGGTAATTTTTTTTGATAAAATTTCTGAATTATTGCTCTAGGGACTTCAAATATCTAAAATTTTCTATTTCATAATTGAATTTTTAATTTTACTAATCATGTAAATTCAGCCACTGGGCACCATTCTAAAATGAAGCAATTTGCAATAAATGCTATTAGAAAGCTTAATCTTTCATACTTGACTGAATCTTTTTATAAAAATGAAAATCTCTTTTTGTTTCAATAATTATGACAAAGTTTAACTTTTTTCACTCTTACTCCATTAGGTTCTCTTACTCTTATAAAATGTAGTTTTTTATTCGGATATTTGTTTTGATGAAAATCACACTAATATCTTTGTGTACATTCATTTCATTTTAGAGCTATGTTAATGACTGCTTGTGATATTGCTGCTATCACAAAACCGTGGGACATACAGAGAGTTGTAAGTAGCTACATCTTTCAATTAGCAGAATGTGTGGATAGTTTTATGCTTTAAAAAAGTTAAGAAATGATGAAATATTTTAATAGTGAACGTAAAAAGCTAAATATACAATATTTATTAATGTTATATAGTTACTATTACAGAGAATATCTTGATGTGTTGTTATAATATGATATGCTGATGTAAAGTGTATATTTACTAATTCAAAACCTTAATTTATAATGTTTATTTCTTGTGACTACCAGTTTTAGCTTACAAAAATACTAAACTAATCCTTTTATTGTTAATTACTAGGTTTATTAAGCAATGTACATTGTGCTAAAAAAAGAAAGGACTATCCTGAATAACTTTTTATCTAATGATTGAATTTTAGTTTCTAGGACTCACTCTTAATGGCTTAAAGGGGTTACCTCAAATATGCTAATTAATAAGTGCATACAATATTTTAAATTACAAAATCTGAAACAAAAACGTTCTTTCTGGGATAAATCTACTCCAAAATATAGGGGGTAGCTGCAATCTCGGAAATAAAGTCCCAATCGTTTACTCAAGAGAGCGCTCACAAGTTTGGACCCCTTTATTTGTAAAATTTCATTTTTTGCGTAGTTCGTTATATCTCAAGAACTTTTTAAGTGAATTGAAAAATTATTACACATAATTAATTATGAAATTCGTTTATCCGAACATAATTCCATGCAGAAAAAGAACATTTAGTAAATATTTTTTATTATTTTATTTAAGAACGGTGGTAAAAATTTTGAATTATAAGGTATACAATTTTTTGCATCATTTTAAAGTATGTAGTTTTATATGGCAAAATATAAAATTTGAACAAAATCGATCAAATAGTTCCCAAAAAATTGAATTTCTCAAAACTCAGGCACTTTAAATTATATATCTCAGGAACTGTTTGACTGATTAAACTCAAATTTTTTATTTTGCCTTATAAAAATTACTTTCTTTAAAATGATGCAAAAACTGTACTTTGCAATTCAAAAGTTTTTTAACCATTCTTAAATAATTACTAAAGGTTTAGTGAATAATAAATATTTACTAAAAGTTATTTTTTGCATGAAATTATTGTTGGATAAAGGAATTTTATAATTGCATTGTAATATTTCTTTAATTCGCTTAAAAAGTTATCGAGATATAGCAAAATATTCAAAAAGTAAAATTAACATTAGGGGTCCAAAACTTTGGAGCACTGCTGACCAAACGATTGGGACCATATTTCCCAGACTGCAGCTACCCCGGTATTTAAGGGGTCAGAAATCCAAATCCATAAAAAGAAAAGATATGTTTATTCAGAGAAAGTACCTTTTTGTATCTGATTTCATAACTTAAAATATCGTCTGCACTTATTAATTTGCATATTTGAGGTCACCCTTTCGAGCCATTAGAATTAAGTCCTAAAACGGGAAAATCTAATCATTAGATCAAAAGATACTCAGGGTGGACCGTTTGTTAGCTTTTTGCTCACTGTACTTTAATTAGTACAGTATAGAACCCGTTATCCGGAAATCAGAAAACCGGAAAACCAAAAAACCGGAACGAAATTCGATACATTTTCCCGCCATTTTAAAAAAAATTATTTTTTTTCCCTCATAAGATTTTAGGATTTTTCATTCTTTTTTGAAAGATGTTTACCTTACCATCATTTTGAAAATAATCATTAGTGTTTTACTTCATCGTTTTTTCTTCTTTTTAAGATTATTTCCAATTTTCTTTCTTTTTTTTAGTTGGGTTTAACTATAAAAAAACGGCTTTTTGTAGCGATTCAGAAAACCGGAAAAATCAGTTATCCGGAATAGCGATGGTTCCGATCGTTCCGGATAATCGGTTCCCTACTGTACTTCTATGAACCTATGAAAGGTATTTTGTAATCTGATTAAATATTTTTTGCATTAGTGAAAGCTGTAAAAATTAAATAAAAAAATATTAATTCTAGATTTGAAGGTATAAAATTGAGAAAAAAAGTATTTTAGGATTAAATCTCTTAATATTGAAATTTAACTAAAAATTGTTACAGTATATTATTTCAAAGTTTTAGCTCCGAGAAATTATTAAATTGCTTTTGCAGGTTGCTGAGCTTGTAGCTAGTGAATTTTTTCAACAAGGTGATATAGAAAAGGAGCAACTAAAGATTCAACCTATTGTATGTATTAAGAAATTATTTTTCTAATTACAGAAAAAATAGTTTATTGCCTTTTATGATTTTTTTTTTTAACAATGTCTTTATTTTTACTACAAGGATATGATGAATCGGGATAAGAAAGAAGAGTTACCTTTGATGCAGGTGCGATTCATTGATTCCATTTGTGCACCAGTTTATGAGGTACAGAAAAAAATATGATTTAAGTACTATTTTTAACAATTTTTAGTTTTGCTGCTACAAATATTAAATTTATTTTTTCATGATTTCTAACTAATTTACTATTTCAAATATACTGTTCACAGTTTACAATTTTAAATCTGTTTATATAAACTTTACCTCTCAATAATTGAGAAGGTAATCCAAGTTATGATAGAGTACACTGTGTGCTCTATGCGAAAAAGTGCAAATAATCATATCCAAAAAGTATAGTTTTGATGCCATAATCAAAAATCTTCCGCAGTGTTGAAACAAAGAGTAAAAAAAATTATCTTTGTGCCATTACTTGTGCTTTATTCAGGTTGATTAGATATGTTCATGAGAAAATAAGTTTACTTGATTGACGTCTGTATTTGAATTGCTTTATGGTAGGGTGTGGTCAGTATTTTGTTTATAACTTAAAGTTCTTTTCATACAATTTTCCGTTCTTGCATAGGGGTTGATAAAATTAGATAATCTGGGGTAACAAGGCTTAAGAGGCTTCTAGGTTAATAAGGAAAATCAGCTTTAGGAATTTAATTGATAGTTGTTATTGAGGATGTACCTGGTTAATTTTTTTTTACCTGTGTCTGGCAAAAGAATTTCACTACCCATTACCTAGTAAGTGCACTCAATTTTTAGTCCCAAGATCTGGTACATTGCAATTTTACCTACCTAATGCCATAGCTGCCAACCCTTCTGCATTTTGCAGAAGCTTTCTGGATTTTTACTTACTTTAGCTATTTTTTATGCGCAGAAGATCTTCTGCATTTTACCCGTCCACCCGATAACTAGTATTTTCTTATAAGTCAGACTATATTGACTATACCCCACAGCAATGCTGAATGCGAAAGGGTGTTTTCTGTAGTAAAAAAACTAGGACTCAATTCCGCTCATCGATGTCTGATGGGACTCTTGCAAAACTTTTAATAATTAAGTCTAAAGAAGGAATACTTTGTTTTGAAAGAGACTTTTCGATAGAATTTTTAGTGAAAGCAAAAGGTGCTACTGAAGCATCTTTGCAAAAAAAAAAATTTTTGTTGTAATTCTTTTTCCATAATTTCTATTGAGTTTATATATAGTGTAATAGTAAATACTATTATAGTGCAATTAAACTAATGGTAATATAAGTCTTAAAATATTATATGTTTCCCTTTAATCAAGAATTAATAAATGAATTTAATACCCTCAAGTAGTTGGTCAAAAGTCTTTTTAAATTTTTTTCTTCCTTTTTTTGTTTTTTAAAAAAAGGGGAGTATTTTTTTATTTTATAAATTTATTAGTAATTACTATGCAGTTGCAAATCTTCTGCACTTTTAGGCATTTCTTCTGCATTTTTATAACTAGAGATTGGCAGCTATGTAATGCTGATTGACAAAACCACATTCAAATTTATAGTAACCTTAAAAACCATTCATCAAAATAATTATAGTATTAGATATCCAAGAATTCAAACATTATTTTGTTCAGATAAAAAAAATTGGTTTAGGCATTAATTTATATTTTAGTCTGCAGTGTTTTATTTCAGAGAAATCTTGGTAAAGTTACCACCTTTGTGACCAAGAATTATGTTAGCTGAAAAGAAGCATCTGCTTAGGAGATGGACATGCAAATTCGGAAATTAATTCTAAATACTAAATTAATAGGGAAATACATTGATTTAAAATTCAAAGATGTGTTTTATTTAGGTTTGTAGATTTGACATTTCAATAGAACTGTAATGGATAACAGTTACTAATTTAAACATTGCAGATTAATTTCCGAGTAAATACAACCTCGTGTTATAACCAGTAACCCAATTAACTGTTAGAACAAAATTTTTAAGGTAGTTTAAAAAAAAAAAAAAAAAACTTTTTATTTTTACGTTATTCAATGAAATACTTCATTCCATAAGTAGATTTAGGTTTATATTGAAAAGAAGCAGGTATAAATAAAATTGGCCATTTATGACTTTGAAGTAAATTTTTACTAGAAAGTGAATTTCTTACTTGTTAGTTCAATAAATTCAATTTTTAACCTGTCTGGTTAAGTTATACAGAAAAAGTTATTTATTAGATCAAATTTTCCTCCAGTTTTATTGCAAGTAAATTACATTTATATTTTTTTGATAATTGAACTTTAAATCCTTATAGTTAAAAACTTTTTCATTTAATATTATGTTATTTCATTAAAATATTTTAAAAACAGCTTGCTTTTAACAGAAGCTACATTAATAAATATTATTGAAAATTTTAGTAAACCAAATAAAAAATTAACTAGTAAGTCTACTATTAGCAGAAATTTCCATTTCAAAGCAAAAAAGCTTTAGGTTAATTTTTCTTTACATCAGAACAACTGTCCCAGTTTTTTTTTGTGAACTTTATTTCAAATTAGGTTTAAATAAAAGCTTATGTTTTTATCTTTATAGGTGCAAAATAAATTTCCTTGGAATTATACCTTGGGAAATATTTTTTTCTTCTTTTAATCCTTTAACGCAGAATTTTTATTGGACCTATTTTTTATAATTTTGTATTAATTTAGTTCAAAATAAGTGAATAATATACATAACAATTTAATAATTTATTAGTTATAAAATACAGCATGAAACACCCATGTTTTTTTCTACGATAAAGGTAAAACTTTCCTAAATATGTTCACTTCCAAACAATGCAGTTATTTAGATCTAAGAGAAAAAATTATTTGTCATTTGAATTTCTTTAATTTACAAAATCAATTATTAAATAATTATTAATATGAATACAAAAATAAATTTTTAAAACTGCTTTTTTTTTGTTTTTGATTTTATATTTTATTACAATTCTGATAATCTGACAGATTTTTTTAGTAACTATGAAGCAGTTTTTTTATTATCAAAAAGTACTAAAATATATTTTTCTTATAATTAGAACATCAGAAAAATGTAAATAAAAAAGACATTGGTGTCCCATCTGCCTCAAAGCGTTAATTGAAAATTATACGATTTTTATGTTGTTTTGCATAAATCTTATAATACCCGACCTGGTAACAACTGTAATATTTGCTGTGTACCCAGACCAGGCTGAATAAAATATTTAATTCTCACCGGGTATCTGTACCTGGCAAAATTTTAGGACCCTAGTACATCCTTAATGCTTACCTTTCTTTCTTGAAACTTGCTTCTCTGGACAAACTACTCCCTTAGCCCATAAACATGATTGGTATTATTTTAATTTTCTGACATAATTCTTGTTCTGATGGGGACATCAATAGGAAATAATTGATGCCTCTTGCTGGGCTCCAAAGTGGTCATCTTGGTGCCCTTCAGTATATGTGAAGCTTCAAAGTTTATCTATTTTGCACAAAACATAATTTAATTCAAACCACTCCTGCACATACTGTAACATATCTTGTTTGAATGCATGGTTTCATTAACTTAATCAAGATGTCCCTGTTGATAAAGAGGAATAAAAAGCAACAGTAAATAAAGATAAGAATAGATTCGACTTTGTTTAGAAAAGAAAATGAATTACTTAAACTCACAGTAGAATTAATTTAGAGAAAAGTGGGGTAAGAACAGGTAGCTAAGATTGATTTAAAGGTCTGTTAAATCTAAACTGTTCCACCGAGAAACTGTCAAATTTAAACACGATATTCTTTGTTTAGTTGTATACAATATATCATTTACATAATATTCTATTAATTAATTTTATGAATAAATATAAATTGATAAATTATTCATTTAATATTAAAAAGAGTGTGAAAACGATGTTTGTAAAAGTAGAAATATTTTCTTAGAATACTACATTTTGAATTCAAATGTAGGGAAATTTGGAATTCCGTCTTTCTTTTTTTTCCCCTGGGAAGGGTGTATTCGATTAGCAAAACAATAATGAAGATAAACAAATTTGTGAAGGGCCCGATTAAAAGATAAATTATTTTGTGAATGGTCCTTTTTTATGAAAAGATATTTTGCGAAGGGTCCGTTAACGGACCTAAATTTCTTCTAAACAGATCCCTGATAACATTTTGTTAATTTTCTTAATTTGAACTGCATATTATAGTTTTTAAAGTGATTTGTCCCATCAACTAAAGTGCTGATTATTTGATTGTAGGTACTTTATTTTATAGATAATTAAAAATAACATATTAGTTGAAGTTTACAGAATAGATAGAATTTACTGTAAAGATCTCATTTTAACCTTGACAATTACTTGGTAATGTCCAGATTATCATGGCTGTTTTCAAACTACCTTTTTGGCACTTTAACGAGTCATCCCTGTTAATCTGTACATTAGCTGGAACATACCTGCTAAGTCTCCTGTATTTTTCGACTATCTCCTGTTTACCCATGTATTTTCACCCGTATATCCCGTAACCCGTATATTTTGTAAAGCTTCGTGATAAAATATCCACTGATGGCAAAAATACTTATCGTATTTCTCAACAGATGGTACTATTGCCAGTACTACAGTATGTTGAGTATAGTTTAAGTCGAGCCGTGGATAGCTCATGGGAATAGAGCGTTCGCCTTCCAATGAGGTGAACCGGGTTTGAATCCCAGCAATAACTGGTCTATACGAATTCCGCATCCAGCTTGCAGTGACCACTCTGCCAAAGTAAAATATCCTCAGTAGTAGATGGATCTATAGAGTCCCCTTGCTGTCAGGCTAACCAGGGGAGGTTTTCATGGTTTTTCTCACCATGTAACTCAAATGTGGGTTAGTTCCCTCAAAAAGTCCTCCACAAAGGCAAATTTCTTCCAATACTCGATCCAGGAGTTCCCTTGTCTTCTGGATTGGGTTAAAAATTATAAGGCTAAGGAGTTGAATATAGTAGTCCTTAACCCAAAATTGAGTCGGCTGTGCAACGACGGTTATAAATTAAAATAGTTTAAGTAATTATAAATAATGGTTTAAAAAATATTCTTTTGATTAAAATTTATATACATATTTTCTAATTCGCTAAATATATGTGCGTACATTATTTCCAATTTTGAATTTCTCTTTTTGACAAAGACTACCTTGTAGCCGTAGAAATGTCGCTAGTAAAATCTTTGTTATTTTATTTCTCCAATGTTGGCTGGTATGCTAGAACAGTGTTTCCCAACCTTTTTATCACCATGGACCTGTCAATGCTTGTTAATTTTACCACGGCCAGCGGGGGAGTAAANTTCTGGGGAGGGGGGACGTTGATTGTTTATATTTTAGATCAGAGGTGTCAAACTCAATTTTGCAGAAGGCCATATATTAAATTTAGAATCTGTAGGCCGGCCAGATTCAAATAAAAAAAATTACTGAATTATAATAACATTTTATTTATTTAATTATATTGTATATAATATAGCGTTGTTAAAAATCATATCAAAGTTATAAAAGAGAGTAATTATTCCGATTGAAGATCTATCAACTCCATTTGCAAATGAGCTGGTGCCTGTGAAGCTTCAAAATTGAATGGATTGTTGAAATATGGGAATTCCATTTCATTCTCTTTTTAGAAGTCTTCAAAATGATTGTTGAATTCCGTGATCAGATTTTGCAGATGTTGAGAATATTGATCCAATTTTTTTTTGGTTCACTATGCCAAATGATTTTAAATGAAGGAAATGATCCAAAGTTTGATTTTTTACCTGATTTTCCCTCAACTTCAACTTTGTTTCAAAGGCTTGAATACATGAATACATTTGAGTGACAATCAGATTTTTACCCTGTACCTTTACATTCAGATCAGTCAAATGTTTATTCATATCTACCAAAAAGGCACAATCAATCCACCTGTTATTGTCATAATCAATTGGGTTGCCTTTTTCTAACATGAAAGCTTGAATAGGGTCACGTAATGCAAAAAATCTTTCTGAAACTAGGGAAATAAGGGACATCAGAAAAATTTTCGTCCAAATCTTGTAAAAACTGCCTGAACTGTCGGCGATTTAGTCCTCTTCTCCTTATAAAATTTACTATTTTAATTATAGGTTGCATGACGTGGTCCATTTTTAAATGTTTTGATGCCAATGATCCCTGATGAATTATACAGTGAAATCTCATGAAACTCCCTGATGTTTTCTGTTTAAATTTAGTTACAACGCCCGAACGTTTGCCGGCCATGGCAGGAGCGCCATCCGTAGTTGTGCTGCTAAGTATATTCCAGTCGAGTTTATATTCTGCTATCAAATGCTCAATCGCATAATAAATATCATTTGCTGTTGTAGTATATGTCAATGGAACGCACTTTAATAGTTCTTCAGTTACTTCAAAGTTACTGTTAATACCTCGTATCAACAGTATCAGTGCTCTCATCAACAGCCAGTGAAAAGTTTGTAAATTCCTTAATTTTCTCCTGCAGTTGAAGAACCAAATTTTGAGATAAATCATTTATTCTTGAAGCAACAGTGTCTCTTGAGAGCGAAATATTTTGTATTATTGACTTTTGAAATGGAAAGGAAACATTGGCAACTTTCAACATACAGTCTTTAATAAAATCACCATCAATGAAAGTTTTTGATCTCTTCGCGATTTCTAATGCAATAAAGCTTGATTTCAGGGCATCTTTTCTCTCCGTATTAGCTTTAGTAAACATCGATTGTTGACCTTGCACTTTAAATTTTAAAGATGACAATGTGTTCATTCTTATTTTTTCAGTGTAACAATTGAATTTTGATTTATGGTTCGTATCATAGTGTCTCTTCAAATTAAACTCCTTACAAACAGCAACTGTTTGATTGCAAATCAAACACAGTGGTTTACCTTTCCATTCTATGAAAAAATATGCAATTTCCCTGACTCACGTCGCTCCGACGCACTCCTTTCATATCGATAGGAAGGTTCTAGCCTAGACTCGAAGCGCGTAGAAGATTCCACTTGTTGCTAAGAAATGGTGTTACTGTCTATCACTCGCTGCCCTTGAAATTACTTATAAATGTAGTGTGTGGATTGTAAAATTTCTGTCGAGGAATCGAGTGAAGTCTAAATGCTCTAAAAAACATGATTCGTCTTTCTGTGACACATTGCGATCGCGGGCCGTATCTTTGACACGACTATTTTGGATTATTTTGATTTATTAATTTTTATTTAATTGTATTTAAACATGCCTTACAAAATAAAATACAGTTACACCAAAATATAAATATAAAGTGATTTAACATTTTAACTTACTAGAACGTTAAATCAATGAGAACCCTGAGCTTGTTTCCTAGCAATGAGACAGTTCCATATGGAGGTAATCTGAGACAATGATACATTACAAATTTATGTCTCTACCTTCAGAGGGTTTCTTTAAATAAATAAAAATTTAATGAAACACAGTTTTTTTTAATTTGGGGTATAAACCTAGGAATTTAAATTTAGTTGCAATGAAATGGGCAGCCCCGCACCATTTGATCCACGGACTGGTTGTTGGGGAACACTGTGCTGGATTATCTACAGAATAACTGATTTCTGCACTTTAGCAGTGAGAAATATGATGAAAAAATTTCAAAGAACAATTATAAAACTAATTGATATTATTTTTGCAGGCATTTTCTAATATTTCTGAACAGTTGAAGCCCTTAATGGATGGAGTTAGAGAGAATCGGGCTGAATGGTTGAAATTAGCTCAAGAAAGAAATCTTTGTGTTTGCAATGATAACTGAGAGTGGCCAGAAGAGAGAGTTTTTAAGAGAGCAAAGGAATATAATTTTCATACTGGTGATCTCACTTCCTAACTCTTGATGTCATCTACTTTTTTATTGTCATTAATTACTCATAGTTAAAATGTTTTAAGTGTTTTTAATCAATAGATTATAAAATTGTATTGTTCAAAAATATTAAGTATACAAAATGCTTGAAATGAAACAAAGGTAATTTTAAGCCTTACTTCTTGAGAACCATAAAAGTTAAAGAATGTGAAACCTCACTACAATTCTGTTAGAAATGTAATCTAAATACAGTTGAAAAAGAACAAGGGCATCTTTTTCTTTATTCTTAGATGCAAACTTTGGTTTAGGGGGGGGGGGGGGGAACTTTTTTTGTTTTGTTGTTTCTTCCAATCTTTAAAAGGTATTCAATGTCAGCCTGTCTTCCCTGGTTAAGGCATCTGCTGTAAAATTTAGCAATTTGCTTGGTTGCTAAGTTGATTTTTAATTTATTCTTTTAAACACATTGAGTGCTGTAGAGCAATGCATCTTATTTTTATTATCTGGCAGAAATCTTACCACCTAAACTAATATTTTAGTTCTTTTAATTTTAAACTGTCTTTAAAGTTATTGAAATGAGAAAAAAATAGTTAAAGATAATCAGGATCTTGCAAATTCGTGGAAAATTGCATAAGACTTATATTAATTATACAAGTTGACAAATTAATATTAATAGCACAAATTGAATACACTTATGTTTTTTTTAATATTACAAATAAAAATAAACCTAATGATCATTAAATATAAGTAAAATAATTTAAGAAGGCAAAAGTTCGTTCGGGGTTCTTTGTGTGAAAAACAATTATTTTCTTTCAAAAAGTGTAACATTGGTATGAGCTTCTCATTGTGGTGTTTTATTTTATTTCCTAGTCAACTTTTTTGATAGTCTAATCTGTTTAAAAGAGTAGTATTAAAATAAATATGAATATATACACTCTGTTATTGATAACATTCTCTGTGTTTTATGTACATATACCCTGTGATCTTACAGTATTTATTTCATTGAATCATCATGTATAATTTCATCGACATCATTCCAGGTTGTTGTGTGTAAATGTGAATTAATGTTTAAAAAAAAAAGAATTAAAGTTATAAAAAAAAAGAACTTTATCAAAAGTTGTTTGTATTTCATAGATTTTATTTCTTCATTTGTATATATTTTTCACTAAATTTTATCATTTTTATGTAATGTTATGAATTAAATGTTACGAAACTTAATTGCTTACATAGTGTATAATGTTATAAATTATTGAAAATAATATTAAACACTATTTAAATTGTTTTAGATTAATATACTACTACATTACTTTAATTGTTTTTAAAAAAATTTGTGAAATCAAATCAAATTAAATTTTTTTTTTAATTATATAGTTAATTTTACCTTTAAAGTTTAACCAATTACTTTGAATGCTTTGCTATAAAATTAATTATCAGTACATAACTTTTAAATCTACTATTTTATTTGTATTATTATTGTGGATAATTTGTTTACTAGATTTATATAACATGGAAAAAATAATTTTTGATTTCATTGCTTTTTTTTATTATAGAATAGCTTTTTAAAAATAATCTTATACACTATTTTTTAAAATTTATAAATCTTCAGTATAAAACAAATGAATCTACAAGATCATGCACTATTATCAATAATTTCATAATCATCATTTTAATATTATATTGTAGAATCAAGTTAAATGTTACTGCTGTTAAAATATTTTATATTTAAAATTACAGAGACTTTATGTACTTAAAAAGCTTGGAACAAATTTTAAAATTTTCTATATACCAGAACTGGTTGCTAATGTAATATTTTACAACAAAGTTTTTACTATTGAAAGCAAATTTGAGGTATTAAATTGTTTTGCTAAACAAGAGCTTTCACTAGGTCCGTCCGTGAATAATTTGTTGCCAAATCTTTCTGTATTATATGAGGAAATTAATCTCTTTAAAGTTAACAAATTATGATCTATAATTATGTTTTTAATGCCATATTAGTTTTTTGTTTGTATTATACAAAGTGATTAAAATAATTTCAATGATCTTTAAGGGAAGATAAAACTTGTATAAAAGCAATCTTTTTTATTATTTTTTTTCTAATTTAATGTATTCTTGGGGGCCATTCAAATATTACGTACAGGCGGAACTGGGAAGAAATTTTGAAATTTGCTTATTTTTGAAGATAAGGAGGAAGGAAAGGTATTAGAAATGTTTATCTAAAACATTAAAATCACCTGGTTATGAAAAATTTAGTAAAAGCAAAATAAAAATTTAACAAAATTCATGTGAAAAATTCTCTAATTCATTCAGAACATTTAAGATTTCTATAGAATATAGGACTTAAATTTTTATAAAGGGAATTGAAACATACTTTTAGTTTTATGTAAAGTGACGTCTTTTATTTGAATTCAGTCATAAAATTGGAATACTAAAGCACAATCAAAGTTAAAATAAAAACCTTAGGAAGGGTTGTGAAGTTTTTACAGAAGCATGTGAGAATATTTTGATTTGCCTGTTTTTGCTGACAAGGTGTCCAAAATTGCTAAAAATATGCTTACATAATATTTCAATGGCCCATTAAAGCAAAGTCAATATCTGTTATGCTATAATTTCTCTGAGCACACTTCAGCAAAAAGGATTATAATTAATTTAAAAACATTGCAACATTTGTATAATTATAAATAAATATATATATGAAAAACAAATGATATATTTAATTTTGAAAAAGTTATATTGTCCATAATCAGAGAAAATATTCTATTATGTATTTAATTCAGGTTCTATTGAAGAAAGAATATTTATGTACGAGTTCAAAGCTTTATCAATAAGCAGACTTCTAGGCAAATTTTGAAACCTTAAAAAATTACAATTCAGTGTATAAAAATTTAATACTTAATTCAAAAATTACTGATGTTTTATTCTTTGTTTTTATCTGCATGTCTTTTGTGATGTAGTTAAGTAACTTCATTTTTAATTATCTTTAATTAGTAGTTATTTAAATGTATTGATTAAGAAAAGCTAAATATTTGTTGGCAATTCTAGAATATGATTTATCTGGACTATAGAATCTCAACTCATTAATTTTCTTAACCAATAATTTTGCCTATAAATTACTTTTCTTCTAAAAAAAAAATTGTTTTATACTTTTATATTTACATTTTTAATTTCCTAATTCTTTTTTCCCTCTTATTAAGACTGTTCTTATTAGCATATTAAATTATTCATCATATAAAATAATGCCTTTTATCAATTAAAATATTGAGAGTTTGTAACAGTTATTAATGACTGTTAGGTTTTGTTTATCTCTAACAAGCGCCTCTCTATATGATGATCATGAAAATGGGGCAAATATTTAATGTAAATAAAAGCTTCCATCTCGCAAAAATAAAAATAATTTCAGATACAATTTTTTATTGTTAGAAGATAAGTAACTCCAACACTATGTTTGAGCTATAAAAATAGGTAAGAAAATAAGAATTTTTTATAGATTCTGGGTGGAAAAGTCCTGTTAAATTGATTATATATTTAAGAGTTCGGACAGTTCTTTTTCTCGAGAAAATAACATATATAGTATCAAATTAAAGTATAAAATTAGTCTAAGACATTCAAACTTTTGCTTATAATTCATCTCCCATAGCAGCTTCAAATAACACTCTTAATTACGAAATTATAGTAACCTCGAAATTTTATATATCTTTATCATATCTGTCACTTTTTCTTAAAAGTTATCTAGGTTCTTAAAGATTCATTCTGTCTTTTTTCTTTCTTTAGGTTTTGCATTTAGAACATATAAAAAGGACTTTACTCTGTTTAGTATATAATTTAAATCTATAGTTTTTATTTTATTAACTCACCTTTCATTTTTAACTTAGTCACTTTCTTGTATTATTTGATGATGTTTGGTTTCATATTTATTTTATTTGCATTTATGTCTACAATTCTAGTCTCAGAATATGATTGTATGTTTATGGTAATATGTCAAGTATCTTTAATAAGTGTCGTCAATAACAAGTGTCGTCTATCTTTTTCATTCTATAAGCCAATTTTTTTTTATGACTGGCAAATTAAAATATGGCATAATTCAATATATATGACAGAGTGTTTCTTAATGGCATCCTTTATATATATTTTTGGAATCATTGTCTCAATTATTGTAAAAGAAGACACTGTTTATATGTATATGGGATATGGTTTAAGGATATATTCTTGAGAAACCAGGAATTTCATTCCACCTAATTCCACATTTAGTTACACTTTCTGTTAATAGCTGTAGTTGAAAATGATGCAGATGAATATGATTCAGCTGCTGTTCTGAATTTACAATATTGTTTTAGTTTATTTTTAAAGCTTTTTCCTGATATCTGAACAAATTTGTAATACTTAGATACATAGTAATTTCTATTCTGCAGTGCTACCTTTTAGTGGGAAGTTTAACTAACTGAGCAATTTGGTGGAACTAAATACCTATTTTTCAAAGCATACTATCACGAGCCATTAATCTTTATTGTGTTTTTTATTGATTTTTATGTGATCTATATATTTACCTACTGCCCATAGTTGGTAATGTTAATAGTTAGTAATAATCTAGAAGAGGAACTAAAGACAGTATTAGCCAAGCTTTCAGTTACATTAGAACTGTCTAAAATGCAAAGGTTTGGCCATTTCTGTTGTAAAATATCACATTTTTTTAAAAATAAATATTTAAAATATTCGTCTATTCCATGGTAACTAACATATATGAAAATAATTTTAAGCTATAATTTGATTTTTATTTCGATCATTATTTTAACAATATGTTTTTCAATAATTTGTTTTATATGGAAAGAAATACATGCTATTGTTTTGTATAAAATAATTAAAGATTTTACTAACTGTTAATTTTTATCAATATATATATATCAGTTTTTGATTGAGATTGATAAGAATTTCTTAATATTCAAACCTTTTTTTTTTTTTTTTTTTTACTTTCNTTTTTTTTTTTTTTTTTTTTTTTTTTTTTTTTTTTTTTTACTATTTAAACAATGAAATATTTTGGTATTTTAAAACAATGAATGTACAAAATGTTGTTTCATGTCAGTGTCTCAATTGTTTTCAATAATACTCAGCTCACTCTAAAGTGCTACTCTCATATAAAATTTTGTATCCATTTGTTTTTTTATTTTATTAATTGAGTTGTATTTTTAGTAAATTACATATAAATTGGTGGCAAAATAAAACTGTAAACAAACTAATTTTTGGACGTATTATTATGAGTTTTTGTTTCTTTTCAAAATTAAAATCTTAAAAGCCTGCAAAAGGAGAAACTGTTTTAAAACTGGTTGTTGTTGTAGTTGATTTGCGTCACACTAGAGCTGCACAATGGGCTATTGGCGACTGTCAGGTTAAACATCCCTGAGGATGATTCGAAGACATGCCACCACAATTTTTGATCCTCTGCAGAGGGGATGGCACCCCCGCTTCGGTAGCCCGACGACCTACACGTGAAGTCGAGCACTATTAAAATTTGTAAAAAATTATGCTGTGATTATTGCATATACAAATTTTTAAATCTTGATGTAATAAGTGTTGAGCAAAGTTTACTATGATGAGTTTTTTGTTTTAATACTACATTTCTGTTTGANATAAACTCAAAAAAGAAAGATATTTGTAAATTTCAATTACTTCTCCTGGTCATCATAAGTATGTGTAAATGGTATAGGTATGTGTAAAATTTTAAATATATTTTCAGTAAACTAAGAAATATTGAGAAAAAGAAAGAAACCTTGTTTAAATTTTTTTCTAATTTTTCGATTTAAACTTTTTTTAAAAGAAATTTTCCAGAATTTTGACTTGGACTCGCAATCACCCCTGCAATGGGCTATTGGCGACGGTCTGGGAAACATCCGTGATAAGATGATCCGAAGACATGCCACCACAATTTTTGATCCTTTGCAGAGGGGATGGCACCCCCGCTTGGGTACCTCGACGACCTACACGTGAAGTCGAGCATTTTTAAAACTTCTAAAAAATTATGTGATTATTGCATATACAAATTTTTAAATCTTGATGTAATAAGTGTTGAGCAAAGTTTACTATGAGTTTGTTGTTTTAACACTGCATTTCTGTTTGAAACTACTATAGAAAAAAAATCTAATATAAGTTTTTTTATCTTGCTTTTTAATTTATTGAGATTTTTGTGGTTTTTATTTATTTTTAAGTTAAGCATTTAATCTCTTAAATAATAATTTTAATATCGAACTTGAAACTTTTGGATTTTATTTTTAAAGGTGTTAAGTGTATATTTCAAAGAAACTGAGTGATGTGTGTTAAATATAATATTAAAAGTATCTTTGAAAAATTTTTTTAAAAAAAATAGTTATCATGAGGACACGCTAGGAGTTTAAAAGAAAAATAGGAGTTTAAAAGAAAAGAAAAATATACATCTTCATATTTTTCACTGTAAATTGCTTATATTTTTCTTCGTTTTAATCATAAAGCACATTTATTTTCTCTTATTGTTCATTAATTCATTGAAATTAAATAAAAAAATATTTATATAACGTTATTTTGTCCGCTATTAAGTAATTGGCAGTTTGTTTGTAAATTTCATTTAAAAAGTGACTTAAGAAAGTTAAAGGGCTGACAAAAAGGTTATTACACTTTTTCACAATATTTGTGACCCACTCTTCCCCATGTCCCTCTACTATTACATAAAATTATACTTGTAATTAATCAAAGCTCTACATTTTGGATAATATTTCAAGTTATATTTTTAAACTTTATCTGTATAAATGGCATTAGTGATCATAACAATGACAATTATGTAGTTTTTGATTGGAAAATATGAAAAAATTTAAATATAAATTGTAAAAAAAACATTTTTCTGCTGGTTTTAAATCTTTTTGTTTCAACCAAAATATATGTGGTCACAATTCTTGGTACCCTCTCAAACAACCTTGTCACAATTTCATCGTCTCTCCCCTCAAAGAATAACAGTTATGGAAATGGACAGTAATGTAAGATTTGAAAATAAATTTGTGAAGAGCTTGCTGTCGCTAATTCTCTTCAATTTAGAAATTTTTAATAATAATGTAACCGTTATTTTAAATGACGTTGAGAAAGTATTGTCTCTTTAAGTAAAGTGGTTTTTTATGCTCTTTAGTGAAAAATTAGTTCCAAAGTATTTAAATGCTGAATTTTCTATCTTTTAAAACAAGATTTTTTTCTTTGTCGTGTTGATTGTCGTTCTAAATTACAAAAAAAATGCATGATTTTCACAATTTTCTCTGCAATATTTATAGAAACTAGTTATTTTATCATGATTATGAAAATGCTTTTGAATTTTATTGATTTTACGTTTATAAATTAAGAACTTAAAATGATAGAATTTGTTTTTATTCCTGCACAGATCCTAATTATGATTTTTTTTTTTTTTTTTGGAAAATGATTTTAAAAAAAATTTGAGTGCTTAAAAAGTACTTAAAAGGTGCTTAGTTGTTGTTGAAAAATCTGGTTACGCACCTTGTAATATAATCTCAAATTTACATTTTCTTGTGGTTTTTCATAGTTTCTTGTGGCAAATCATTACGCAATAAGCTCTTTAAATGTTTTAACATTTTCTTTGAGAAAATTATATCGCTTAGAAACTTTTGCATAAATTACAAAGCTTTCACTATTATTTGTACAATTGTTTTAATCTAACAACAATGATTTTAAATCCAAATGAAAAAAAGCATGAAATTATCCTGTACTATACATATTATTTTTTTTAAAAGAAAATATGACAATAGTCTGGAAAAAAATTCAAAAATTCAAATAACCATAATTCAATCCAAGTGTTATACATAATTACCTAATCATTACAAATTGAAATTTAGTATGAAAAATTGAAACATCTGTAAAATGTCTTTAGAGACCGCTTTTTCATGGACTGTCTGGTTGATTGTCAGGATGAGAAACTTCAAATGCATCTAGCTTTTTCAATCTAGAACTAATCTCAGAAATTAGCGGAAAATTCGATAAATTTATATCAAAACGATCTTCAGCATTATATACTTGCGGTATAAGACATAAATCTGCAAAAGTGACGTTGTCGCCAACACAATATTTACCATGCGTTCCCTGAAGTTTCTTTTCAAGTGACTTAAGTCCAGATTCCACCCAATGTTTTCCAAAGGCGACAGATTTTTCGCCACCCCAGGAGGCTGCTTTTTCACCAAGGAAAAATAGAACTTTCATGTTTTGAAGTGGCTGTATACCTGCCACTATATTATCAACCAATCCTCTGACTTGTGCTCGTTTTACCGGATCAGTTGGCAAAAGTGGTGCATTTGGCACTGTTTCTTCCAAATATTCCAATATTGCCGTAGAATTGGTAATCGTTTTACCATTGTCTACATACACAGGAACTTCTCCAGTAGGATTAATTTTCAGGTAACTTTCAGAGTACTGTTGTCCGGCCAGCAAATCGACTGTTTTGCATTCGTAATCAATTCCTTTGTATGCTAAAGCAATCCGTACTCGCCATGAACATGAACTTCTAAAGTATGAATATAGAATGGGCTTACAATGAGCCATTTTATTAAACGAATGAACAAGTGACCTGTTAACACAACAGTTCTCTAGCGTGTCTTGTTTGATGGGAAGTTTAAGGTCACGTTTTTATCGCGACCTTGGGGATGACGTTAAGAGATAGCGAGTGAGATATCATGCGTCAAGAGCTCTTAAGAAAGCGAAAAGCTTTTTATGCTTCACTTTTTTTATTTCTGTGTTTTATTTAGTATTGGTTTTTATTGTTTAGATCTGAATAAACTTTGAAGCCAGAATTATTAAATAACAATTTTATTTGCACAATATTTTATGAAAAATAATTTGTTTTTCAAATAAATTTTATAATGAAGTTTCAAAGAGATAGAATACTAAAAGAGAAAGATCACCTATAAATTAAATTGCTCTTTACATTTTTTTAAATGGAATATTTTAAAGGATATAATTTAATTTTGTTGAATAATTTTTACATTAAAAATTATTCATACATTTTACATACATTTACATAAAAAATTAATTTAAAAAGATGTATATTTGCGATATTTTCTTTTTATATATTTTATTTTATTACCGTCGTTGAACAGTCGATGCAATCTTGGGTTTACGACCACTAATGTTCAACTCCGTAGCCTAGTAATTTTGAACCCATTCTAGAAGACGAGAGAACTTCTGGATCAAGTATTGGGAGAAATTTGCCTTCCCAGAGGACTTTTTGATAGAACTAACCCGCATTTGCGTTACATGGAGAAAAACCTCCCACAGTTAGCCCGACGACAAGGGCAAACCTATGATCCATCTACCACTGTGGATATTTTACGTCAGCACTGTGGTCGGTGGGAACCTGGGTGCGAAATTCGTATCGATCAACCATCGCTGGGTTTCGAACCCTGTTCATCTCATTTGAAGGCGAGCTTTATCCCCTGAGCCACCACTGCTCTTCGTTTGATTTAAGTTTTTTTCCGCACCTTCCATTGATAACATCTTTCAGTGACATGTAATAGAGAAATAAACTTTGAGCCTCCATATTTCCCTGTCTGCCGCTGAAATCCCCCCCCCCCGATTATCAAGCAAAAGTTGTTAGGTAATTTCGAAATGAAAAGAATTGATTTTTTTTAGTGTTCATTATTAGTATTTTTAATTAAGATATTTTCTAATTAACTAAAAATAACATGTTAAAAAAAGGATTGCAAAAACTAAAAATTATATTTCTTTCTAAAAACATGCATGTCACTTCAAATAATCTAATTTAAAATTTTATTTCTCCGGGAAAATTTAACATTTTTAAAAAAATATATTCGATTCGAAAGAATTTAAGAATATATATCTAACTTTAGGGATTGTATTTGAAAAAAAAAATAAAGTAAAAGTTTTAATGTTAAATTATTTATTCCCAAAATTATACTATAGTATTATAATTATTACATAACGTTACAATCAATGTGGTAAAAATTCATGGAAGATATACCACAAGGTAGCTTTGGAATCGTAAGACCTGTGTTTACCAGATTATTGTAAACAGCTAAACAATTTGCTAAGAGAATTTTTTTTTTTATGATCTGGACATTTGATTTAATTTGTAGCCCAATTATTTCATTGGTATATACTACGTTAAAATAAATATCAATTAAAAGTTTTTATAATCTAAACATTTGATTTTATTTATAGCCCAATTATTTCATGGGTACTACGTTAAAATAAATATCAATGAATTGTTTTTTGTAGTCTAGACATTTGATTTACTTTATAACCAATTATCTCATGGGTACTACAATAACATCAATAAAAAATAATATAATTTTTTTTTTTACAGTCTAGACATTTGGTTTAATTTATAGCCCACTTATCTCAAGAATACTACAATAAAATAAATATCAATAAAAATGTTTTTTTTTATAGTCTAGACAATTGATATATAGCCCAATTATCCCAAGGATACTAAATTAAAACAAATATCAATAAAAAATGTGTCGATGAACAAATCTTGACAAAAAATTTTATTTTAAAAATTATTGAATTTCGTAGAAAGTGAAAAGAATCTATTATGTTTATTTTCAATTATTCTTACGATTGAAGCTCGCAAATCGAATAGGTGATAAAATAATATTTGAAAGAACGAATCACTTTCTGCTTCAAATCAATAATTTATTACTTGACTCGAATACGAAATATAAATGATAGTAAATGTACTTATACAATTTTAAGCTATAAGTCGAGAATTTGAAATCGTTTTTTTCTTTCTTTTTTTTCGGATAAGACATTTATGTTACGTTGTTTAATGATTTTTAAAGGTTAGAATAACTTTTTCGAGAAGCTTGGAATAGTTTTTTCAGGAAAATATTCAAATCTTTGAAAATAAAGTTTTTTTTTTTTTTTTTTNTTTTTTTTTTTTTTTTTTTTTTTTTTTTTTTTTTTTTTTTTTTTTTTTTTTGGAGATTTTTAATATCGAAAGTTAGCAAGTATTTTCGTCAAATTTATGTTTTATAATGTTAAACATAACTTATTGAATACGTCTTGTAAGGGCTGTCCTGGCCTGTAGTAGGCTGTCATGCTGATGATGAAGAGTTTTAAGAAATGGTATATCATCTCGAATAGAACAAAAAAGAGAATATTCTCGTAGGCGCATAGGCTCACAAGGCTATATTGAAGTAGTCTCTATTTCTATTTTCAAAGAACTAAGCCATTATTGCCTTTTTAAGGACGGCTTTAAAAATTAGCATTAGCCTGTATGAAAATTTGAAGCCAGGATGCCTCTGAGGAGAAGTCATAAAGGTGACCCAGGTTTGAATTCAAGTGACGGTTGATCAATTCGAACACTGCTTCCAGTTCACACCACGCTCAGTGCAAACGAAAAATATCCCTAACAACTGACAAAGAATCTCTAACTATCTTTGTGCGATTTTCGTAGTTTTCTTTCCCATGCAACGCTAATGCAGGTTAATTTTACTCGAAAATATCTCCATGCTTAGTTTTGGAGTGCCCTTGTCTTTTGGAATGGATATAAAATTACAAGGCTATATTGCTGTTCGTTAATTGCCTCGAAGTCAATGCAGATCGATTTTTAAAGTATAAGAAAGATGTAATAAAATTATCTCACAAAAATTGTTTTTTTTTCAACATAAACTAATTTTATGCTTATCATTGCTTTTATGTTTTTTTAATGACTACGCGCTTCAATCTTTTTTTTACCTTTAAGTTCAACTAATTAGAATAATTTTTTTGGTCAGAAAAAAAAGTTTGTTTTTTACTATTCGTTAATTGCCTTGAATATGTAAAATATTTGTGAATATATTTGAGAAAATAGTAATTTTTCTTTGAATTTGACATAAATATCTGTTCCATATAAAACACTAATGCGTGTGTAGCTAAAAAAGTGATACAATTTCTTTTTCACGTTGGCAGCAAAGAACTGAAATGTCAGGCGAGTGGGCAGTCGTAAGCCTTAAATACAGAATAACATCGAATGAAAAAGAATCTACTAAATAAAATCTACTAGAGAAAAAAACATCAACATCGAATCATTCCTGTTTAGACATGCTTTTTCAATTACCATAAATGAAGCTTTAAGTCGTATCTATTGTGATGTCCTGTAATTCAATTCAATTTAATTCCCATCGTATCTTCTAATTTAAAATTTACCATTGTGAATGAACAGTGCATAAAAATATAAACGAGACACTCTGAATAACTTTTAATCAAATGATCGGACTTTTACAATGAGGAAGTAAACCTCAAATATGCTAATTAGTTAATACAGACGATATTTTAAATTTCGAAGTCAGATAAAAAACCGTACTTTCTCCGAATAAACATATCTTTTTTGGACGGATTATGATTTCTGACCCCTAAAATATAGAGAGTAGCTGCAAGCTGGGAAATATGGTTTTCACAGTTTGATCTGGAGAGTTATTTTATTTTATAACCGCCGTTGATATTTTTTTGGGTTTACGACTACTAATGTTAAACTCCGTAGCCTTGTAATTTTGAACCCAATCCAGAAGACAAGGGAACTCCTGGATCAAGTATTGAGAGAAATTTGCCTTAGTGGAGGACTTTTTGATGGAACTAACCTGTTTGCCTTACATGGGAAGACAACCACGAAAATTTCCCATCGTTAGCCTGACCGCAAGGGGACTCTAACCCGTGATTTGTCTACTACTGAGGATATTTTACGTCAGCACTGCGAGCCAAGTGTTGATTTCGTATCGACCAACCATCGTTGGAATTCACAGTTCACCTCGTTGGAAGGCGAACGCTCTATCCCTTGATAGGATCCTAATAGTCAGAACCAACGTTAATTAACGTTTTAATATATGTTTGGACTCCTTAATTGCAATTTTAGTTTTTGTAGAATTCGCCTTATTTCGAGAACTTTTTAAGCGAATAGAATTTTTTTCCTAAAGTTGCCTTTATCTAAAGATAATTCCACGCAAAAAAATTGCTTTTAATAACTATTTATTATTTTTGCAACATATTTAGAATTTTGCACAGAGAAAAGTTTTACAAACTATTTACTTTAAACTTCCTAAAGTCTTCAATAAAGTATACCAAGCTTGAGAGAAATAGCCAATGAGCGAGCTTGGAATGCGAAGAAATCCGAAAGGAATTGGTATAAAAAATCTCTGAAAAATTACGACAAGGATATAAGTGAATTGCACACATTAGCAAATGAAAAAGTTAGGAAGGCATTTATTTTAGTAGTTAGGTAAAGAATTCAGATATATGTGCAATTTTAAGTAATTATCATTTATTTATTTTTAGAAAAATATATCTTTACTGTCTGAAATTTCGAAGAGTGTGGAACCTATCTTGCAAATTGCCACTTTTCTTAATGCATTGCAAAACTCAGCTATATTGTCTTGCAAATTGAACCATCTTAAACGATTCTGTGATATAACTTGATCGTTTATATGCTGCAATTTACTACTCTATTTAATACCCCAAACATTAATACGAATCTATAATACGAAAAAAAAAAGGTTGTTTTACATTGCATCAATTTTTGTAGTATATTGTATATAAAGAAAAAATAAAATTTCAGTGGGACTAGTTAAAATTTATTTCTGGTGTAGTTCAAATCCTCCATGTGCGTTAATTAGTCTATTTTCGAACTTTCTTTCATAT